TTTTTTTTTTTTTTTCCTTTCCTTTAAGAAAGAGAGCGAGAAATCCAAGCCTTTCAAGACCAATATGATGATTAATTAGGTAGGGTGACCGGTCTACTACGGGCAGCTGTAAGGATTAGTGTCTAGTGAGTGAAAGGGGGCTTCAGCGGACGACTTTGTTACCTCAAGCAGCTCAAGTGTCTTGGCTGAAACAGACTTCAAGATGACCCTAATAAATTTTCCCCTTAACGTAAATGCTAATGGGAGCATTTACAGCACAAGAATAGCAGACAGCACAAACATCAGTAGTGCTAATAGCTGTGTTTAACTGCTAAGATCAACAAACTCCAGCTTGAGTCTGCAAAAACCAGGATTCAGTCAACCTCGGATGCCACATCTGATGTATTCAATATCAAAAGAAAACACAATGCATGTATCACCTATAAACATGAATGTAAACATGTGCAAATTAAACCGCCAAAACATACATACAGAAGACACCCATTCCTCTAGATTCCTTTTGATAAATATGGGAAAGATTACAGCTACATGTACCAAGTTCTCTGTCAAGCAATGGCCATCTATGAAACACAGGAAGGTAAAATAAGAAAACAAACCATTTGAAACGATTAAACCTATATTCTATCCTTCTTTGGCAATTAATCTCACGAATCATATTACATCCATAATCCCTATCTTTATTCAGTGCTATCTCAAACCCCAGGTCCTCCCACTCAATCAAATAGGCTCATCTGCTCTCAGCATTATCTATGGCTATACAAGAACTAGCTAGTTCTTCTTAGTTCCTAAACTGATTCCAAGAGAGGAAGCCCAGATGAATAAAAACTCTATCTCCCTGCTGGTGGCTGATTTCTAAAGTTGAAACGGTAGGGCTCCCACTGACTATCTGGTTCTTTGCGTTTCCCACCAACACCAGAACTGGAAGATGGTTGTGAGCTGGCACCCAAATGCTCATCCATTGACCTTGTCTGACTGGGATTGAAAAGTTGTCTCAAACCCCCAGATTCTCTATTTCCCACCTCAATCATCAAGCCGGAGTTCAGATCAAAGTTAGGACGTGAAGGTCCAGGCCCATTTGATCCATGAGGGCCAGTCATGCTCATAATATATGGTGCTGGAGAGAAGGCGGGCGGAAGAGTTGAAGGAGAGCCCACAATTTGAGGTATCACAGGGGCTCCTCTTGAATCTACCATGTAAGTGACGGGGCAACCAGGTCCATACATGGTCGACGAGGAGAAAGGCATAGTAGGCCCTGACAAAAGGGCATTGTAGCCATAAATAGGAGAAAGTGCATTAGGCACAGTGGATCCCATACACAAAACACCCCCGCTTCTCGCCAAATTAACATCCATGGACGGCTCTGGAATCCTGCCGTTTGGCAAGGGCAGAGTTTGTGAAATCAAATCTTTCCGCTTGACCTCCACTCGTGTACCAAAAATGGATATTGCAGAGTCATCTGGTTTAAGCTCTCCAAAAGCATTTAAGTTTTGAAATGACTTACCAAAATAAGGATGATCTGAAGAATCGCTGAGAAAAGTTGGCTGGTCGTTCAGATCAATGTTCCTCAGGAAAGGCTGCTTTGATGACGATGAAGAAGAAGGAGATCGACTGTGATGGCCATTCCGATGGTGAAAGAATTGTCTTTCCATCCTCCAATCTGATGGAGTATCACCATCATCACTCACACGGTTCAAATCCAACTTGAGCCTATCTGATCTTCTTGGACTAGCTTCCAACGAAGATTCCCCTGAAGGAAGGCCAGATAATAGCTGGATCTGTTTTCCAGGTAGAAGATCTGTGGTCTTGTCATCTCCACATTCAGCCACGTTCAAATCAATATCAAGACAGTCGAGCCGCTGCCTTGAACTGCTGTGGCTCCCTTCAGCAGAGAGAGTTTTGTCACCTTCATTATTTCTACGAGGTGATGCTGGACGAAAAGCACTAGTTGCAGCAGATCCTTTCCATCCAAGAGTTCCTTCAAATTGCAAAGGAGCAAAAGGCAACCCAGAAGGTGCAGCAGCCCTTGAAGCGGAAACAATAGAGATGGGAGTAGAGATATGGTTCAACTGGCAATCCATATCCTCAGAGCAAACTTCTTGATTCAGATCAAAATCACAAGAACTTTTCTCTACGTTAGCATCTGGTTCTTGAGCCGCCTGAGTAATTTGAGAGGACTCTGTATCTTGAATGGCATTTATTGGTTTAGCATCTAGGTTTACTGCACTATTTACCGGCGAATCCTCAGCAGACAGATCTGGTCCACTTGGCACCTCCTTAGGTGGGCCCTCAATTGGTTGGCATTGTTTCCCATTTATTGAGTCTGGGCTATCCGGCTGCTGAATTCCGCCTCCTGACATTTTCTCAGAAGAACTGCAACTTGGTTCCCTGCAATCCTCGACTTCTCTCTCCACTTCTATTGCTACTTGTCGAGCAACTTCAAGCGGATCTACTATACCATAGTCGAGCACAATGTCAGAACTCCTAACAATTAGATCAGAATTTCGGGCATCCATTGTTCCTGTGTTAAAATCAGACTCATTTGCCAGATCACCCTCACTTTCATCACTAGAGCTCACCCTACGTTCAACTGCTCCGTCATCTTCAATCCCTGGGTCCTCAGTTTTTCCCAATTTTGGTTTATTGCCAGGAGAGTCCTGCAACACATCAATATTACATTTACCACCTTGATCTGAAGTTCGAAATGCCAATGTGCTTCTGCAATTATTTAAAGACCTCATATCATCAGCCCCACTCTTTCCTACAGATAAATGTACTCCCACTCCCACACTATCAAAAGGAGAAGCTTTTAGACAATGGTCTTTGTCACGGCCATCAATGTATTTTTCTAAACCAGGTCCTGTCAAAGACTCCAATGCATTCACAGCATCTACACCTTGAGAAGGAGATCTGTGATCCAACGAACCACTGGCCGCAGAAATTGCCATTGAACCTATTTTCTCAAGAGAATTTCTGATCTTTGGCATCTGCTTGGCATCATCAGCACAATCACTCAACCCAGGAATATCTAGCTCCCGTTCAACAGGGCCTACACTTGGAACAGCAGAAATACCAGTTTGAATTAAAGTGGTACCCTCTAAACAATTCATGAGGCACTCTTCCTTTATAGGAAGGGTTTCCTTAACAGGATTTGACATGACCGAGGAGCCCACTGGATCTAGGGGACCATTGCTCATGACTGAATGGTCCAAAGTTTGGTGGGCCTGTTCATTATCTACACTTTCTGACTGAATAGCATCAGAGTTTGTCGATGTCATGATATCTTCACTGGGAGGTTCTACATGTTTTTCTTCATTAAAACTTCCTCTGGAAAGAGAAATATCCCTGGAAGAAGATTCTGGATGTCCACTCTCACCAGCAAGGTTTGCACTTTCTTTTGTCTCATCAGCAAGAATCTCGTCATAATTTTCAACCTGCTGGGGAACTGCACCACTGTCTTTATCTTGTCTCCAGTTATCAAATAAAGCTCTAGCACTATCCCGAATTCTGGAATTACAGTGGCCAAGAAGATTCTTGACAGTCATCCAGATACCAGAAGAAACTGACTTCTCATGGTCTATATGCAACTTTTCAAGTGCTTGCAATAATGCAATAACTGACTCTTCAACAAAGCCACCACCTGTGTCACTACCAAACTTCTGAACATCACTGAGCCACCTATCCATAAACCATAGTCCATCTAATTGAATGAAAAGATTCAGACAGTCCTTATTCTCAGTGGCTGCTACAGTGCTCGCAACAGTAGACCATTGCCGGGATGCTTCGCCAACGTTCTTCACAATACAATCTTTCTCCTTCTGCATTACAGTGACTAGCTCCCTGACTCGAGCTGGAGCTGTGAACCCATCTTTCATCTCAGTCAAGGTGAAGAAGTCCTCGAGCGTCATAATGTCTCGCCTGCCAGTATTCAAAGAGATCCTTGTGTCATGCTAATACATTTAACTTCAGCTTTGTTAATGGACGGTAGAGAAATTTTATTTATTATTCACAGTCTACCCTGCAAAACATCAAATTACGAAATGGGTAAACAGAAGTTCTGAATAGTATATAATACAGATCAACAATATGTAAATGAAAGTCGCAGGACATTGTATACTTTGGCATAGACAAGAACTAGTACAAAAATGACACAGAGTGCAGTAGATATCAAACTCAGCAGTCAGTGCCACATATGAATACATCGTGCTCACATGAATTAAGTGAAACTCAAGTTTTCAGGAAATATCCATTATCACATTCCCAACACAAATATGGGTGCATGCAAGTGCACATCTTTGTACATTTGCAGAACAAGTAAATTTTGACAAAGCCAACCACCTGGAGTATGGAGATGGAATTTAAAGAAAACTAGAGTCTCTATGGATGTAGGTATTATGAACACGCGTCCCTATTTCCATTACCATGTGTAATTCAAGTCCAAAAAGGTTCAACTGATCGACTCAGAGCAATTCACAAAATACATCACAGGAATCGGGTAAAGAGGCTTGTAGATGGCAGATTCAGCATTTACTACCCTTGTGTAAATCTTTTTCTTCTCTCGGTCCCTCTCTCTCCCCCTTCCCTTCCCCCCTCCTCCTCCTCCTCCTCCTCTTTGAATTATTACTACCAACTATTGCATGCTTAGATAAATCAAGTAAAGACAATATTAGACGTATTCCGCAATCACATTCTAAAACGTATATATTGAACAAGCATGCAGCATGTATGTGCATGCGAGCCCATGCATGTGCAACTGAATCAGTGAGCATCTTTTGTATTACTATTTACTCAGTTTAGAAAAATGATAGTGGGTAAGCGGTTCACACTTACTTCGAGGTTTGACCAATCTTAACTCCCAAAAAGAAATGAAATAACAACTTTCTCTGCCTCAGAACCACGATCACAATCATTTAACAAATTCCAAATCTTGTTGACCTCGATGATAAATCCACATGCTAAACGAGTGCAATTTAATTATTGAAATTTTTGCTGCTAGTGCTAAATAAATCTACACATCCCCTACAAAATTTCTGTAACAAGTGCAGAATATAAATATTTAAGAAAGTCAAAGCTACATCATAACTTGCCACATATGACATATTTGCAAGTCAAGTGTAGTAGAAAAGAATTTACAAGAGAGCAGAGATTAGTGGTGTCCATTTATCAGGTGTTAAACACAAATACATATATTTTTTTGATAGGACATATTAAACACAAATATTAAACTAATTTTCATCATAACAAGTAAATAAAATTGCTTAAAGCTACATGTGTCGTAAAAATAGCATAAAATTTGTATCTAACAGAGAGTAGAGCCATGAATATGTGTGGTAAACTGAGATGACATGTTCTTGTAACCTTGAAGTTGTGTCAAACCAGATGGTTAAAGAAAAAACCAATCCTATCAACAAACAAAACTAAAGAGCAACCAAATACAATAAAGTCCTCAATCTATGTAGCCACAAAACAACTCGAGATATGTAACCACCAGATAACAATGAAACAAATTTTAAAGGTCTAACCAACTTACACTGATACAATCCTGATTTTAAAAAACATAACACACCAAAATGCTGTAGACATCGTCAAGATATCAATGAATACCAAAAGATGTCTTAATTGAGAGTTGAGTTTGCAATTTCTCAAAGAAGACGTTGAAATAAAAACAATATCATCTCTTACCAACAAGCAAGGTACGTTTCTATATACTACACAAGTTAAATGGAATACTTCCTCGGTATGTTCCATTTTAATTAGAGGTTTCCAAATACGTGTGATGTTGTGATGCACATATTGGAGAACCTGCTTATCAAGTTTAAGAAATCAATAATTGTCATCAGAACATGACAGTGATGCAGAAATATCAGCTACTGATCTCAATAAACTATGTATTCACAAAACAGAAAACTCCTCTGGCATATAAAAAGACCTCAAAAAGATAACAAACCTAGAGTTGTCAACAATAGTAACATTACCCATTCTTTCAATGCGCTATTGAGAAGATAATTAATAAAGACCGACTTTCCAACCACAATTGCCAAATGGCAGTATGCCAATCCTGAAAAACAAACAGCAAATAAAAAGCAAATAGGAAACAATTAATATTCATCGGCCTAAAATACAATCAAAACCCCAAACAAAGAAACCGCAGTTCAATAACACCAAAGCAGCTGTAACACACTAATTCACCAATAGACCTGAAACAATACTCGAAATGATCTTAGGGTTTTTCTCCTACCATACAATTAAGAATTACCATTTTTCATGAAACTGATGGAACAAAACCAGTGGGACGAAGAACAGTAAATACCATAAGAAGAAAAGACTAAACCCTAAAATGAACAATTCAACAGAAAGAACACAAGCTTCAAAGAAAACCCTAGATGAGAATTCCGTTAGTGTTAAGCGTGGGATGTATACATATCCCCACAAATAGATAGATGCAAAAGATTTAATTAAGATTACATATTTAATGCAGTAGGCTAAGGAATTAATAACGTCAACCCTAAACATGGGAAGAAAATATATTCTCAAATATTGAAAATCCATAATAATTAATAGTTCCCGAGTTGTAATTTTACCTATTTTCAGCGTATGAAACCCTAGCTCAAGCTTCAGAGAGAGAACGGAACTCGAACTTCAAAACCAAGAGCTAACTTACTATGTTCCAAACCCCTCTTTCTTTCTCTAGACCCTTTCTCTCTCCATCTCAAATTCTTTTTCTCTTCTTTCTATATCACTGCATCTCTCTCTCTTCGCAAAACCCTCGCTTTGTCCTCTCCGTGCTCTTTCTCGTACCAGAGAAAGCAAAGTTTTCCTTCGCACGAATTCCCTCCCTCCTCTCTCTCTCTCTCTCTCTCTCTCTCTCTCTCCGTCCTTTTCCGTTTTCTCTTTCTAAACTTTTTAGTTCTCCTTCCATTCGGTACTACGTTTTAGTTCATAGCTGGGTATTTACACGTGCCACATGTGCAAGTCCACACAGACAAACCAATCGGGTTGGAAATTCCGGGTCTGGTCTTTGATGACCGGGTTAACATGAATTATACCTATGAATATCAAGTATGAGTCATCTTTCAACTTGATTTTGAAATTTCAATTGAAACAGTTAAATCGTCAATGTTTTAATTGATTTTAATATCATAGCTATATTTTCCAATTTTTTATTTTGGTATTTCAAATTTAAAATAAATATTTTGTTGTTGAATTGGAGTCTTTGTAATTTGCATAACAGGGTGGTTGTTATGAATTGAAGGTAGGATAGATTTATACTTTGCACATGTGCCCAATGCAATTGCTTAAACATTTGAACTTTATAACTTTTTGTGTCCCTTCATTTGCACTAAGTTCTTTTAATTTCTATAACTTTGATTTGTAATGGCATACTATTTATCATGTTTTTATTGTCTTAAATGATAGTTGCAATTATACTTCCATCATGTAGAGAAGAAGAAGAAGACTCACTACTAACTTTCCCATAGTGTAATATACACTATTAATATATTTAATTGTCATTGTTTAATTCAAATAAGATACAGATTAAGGTATAATTGGATATAGAAATTTAAGTAGGGATCATATAGAAAATTAAAAGTTTTTCATGTTAAAATAATTTTATTAGTAGTATAAATATAGATTAATTAATAGTCTATTATTATTAGTTTATTTTTAATTTATTTTCCACGTAAAACTACCCATTTTCTTATGATTCTATTTATCTCTCATGGTTTTTTTTTTAATCATCTCTTTCACACTTTCGTTTTACCTCTTTCTCAAACATCCACCACCAACTAGCATCGAAAATATTTCACATATGTATTATACACACATTAAATTGCAGGAGCTTTAAATTCCACAATTATCGTGTGACACGGAAATTACTATTAATGAAACGAGAGCAATGATTTGATATTCACTTAATGAAACCACAAAAAATAGGCACAAAAAAAAGTGTTTTTTTTTTGGGGGGGGTGTTGGTAATTTGAATTTTAAAAAACTCAAAAACATGTCTCTTTCCATTATCTCGCCTTCGTCAATCTTACACTTCATCTTAAGAGTTTCAATTAATCTAAACTTTGTTCAAAAAAAAAAAAATCTAAACTTCCATTCTTCATACATTAATTACAAATTTCTATATGTTATCCTCCTCTTTTTTCTCTCTCTTTCGTTGTTCAAGTTACGCATATTAATTTATCAAAAAATTCTCATGTCTTACATTATATCCATAATAAACTCTACACAAATTGTATGTCTCATAGACACTCGTGTTAAAGAATGTGAGACAATCGTTAGAAACAAAAATTTCAAAACACTACCAAATCTATAATGATATTTTTATGTGCAAATCTACTAAAAAATGAGATCTTGAAATTCATTAATTTCGATTAAATTCAAGTTAATGGTGAGTTGACTTTGTCATATTTAGATTTTTAATCTCAAAATCTGCCTTAAACTCAGTTTGTTCATCATTATTCTTTAGAATCATTGTTCATACCTCAACAAGTTATGTCATTGTTTGTAAGTTCACTTACCATCATCAACCCCTCTTACCAAAAGAAAAGAAATCCAAGGATATATAAATTAGTATTAAACTCAATTATAATATACTAAGCTTCTTTTTTTCCCTTTTAGATTCGCTTGTTTGATATGGACTATTTTTTTAAAAAATCAGATTAAAATAAAAGTGAATGGGCAAAATACTTGTTAAAATGTCAATACAGTAAGAATATTTATTATAATTAAAATATAAATTATATCAATAGAAATTAAATGTAAATGATGTTTGCCATTGTTGTGTTTTATCATTGTTTTATTACGTAGATGTTGTCGATCTAAGTCAAATCTTTCATAAGAAAGTTGGGTTTTTTTTTTTTTTGTTCAACAAATAGGGCTGTTTGGGTTAACTTATGCATACTTCAACTAATCTTCTATTTGGTCCGGTTAAGGACAATCCATCCTCATTAAGAGTAGGGTATTTATCGTGGCCCGACTCTAGAAAATTGACAAAAATGTCTGAATTTATAATTTATTTTTGTTATCAGTTAAATTACTCTGGCTTATTGATTTCTTTTCTGCTCTTTCTTTGTGTCTAATCTATGGGGAACATGCTTCCATAAGCAGGTTATCAAATGAAAATGTAGGTCAAAGACGTGGACACAAAACATAGGGTGGTGTCCAAAAGACAAAAAGTCACCCACCGGTGCAATGACTAGGACATTGTTGTTGAATTTTAAATTGCCAGGAATAATTCTTCAATGGTCAAAGTCATTGTTTTAACAATCTTTGCAAATAAATAAACAAATAAATTAAATACTATGGGGATTGTGTGGCTCGTCGAGCGACAGATCTACCACAATTAGAAGAAGTCCAAACTCACTTACTATTATTGTGTGACAAGGCTGCAAGAGCTCTTAAGTAGGTGGAGAGTTCAATGTGTTTATCGATGCTTTAGTCCTGAATTGTGGATCATTATTCTAGATCACAAGTTAAAAAAAAGTTAGGAAAAATAACTGATATCATGTGCGTTAGAATGGAGATTATTATTGAACTAATTTCTGAAAGGCTTATTCTTCATGTAAAAGGGGAGGAGGGTTTAAGAGTAGAATCAAGGCTAATTATACAAGTTAAAGTCAAGTAATGGAATTGTAAATACTTTACTCCTTGTTGACTTTTTTAATTTTGGTAATTTAGAGAGGTTTTATATTTAAAGGTGTTAATTGAGTCGGATCTTTTGAGCATCTAATATGCTCTAAATTGGCTCGAGTTTTTGAGAGGATTGTTCAAGCTCGGCTTGGCCGAGCCCAAACTTTATTTAAAGTTTCGTCTCAGTTCAAACTAAAATTGAGCTTAGACTAGATCTCAAATCAACAGAACTTGAAGTCTGCCACTACTAAGTTTTTAGAGATAGAAAGATTAGATGGGATTTGAAATCTTGGGATTTGGAGTGGACAGGTGACATGGGTCATGTGCGTGGACCGGTGGGGAAGTCTAGATATTTAGGGGTTAGGGGTAAAACTACGGGCTTGGTTAGGCTCGCGAGCGGCTCAAGCTCGATTTGATTTAGAAACGAGTCCAATTTTTTTGTGCAAATTTGACTTATTTTATAAAATGAGTGAACACAAGCTAAGTCAAAATTGAGTTGAGCCTGAGTCGCTTGCGAGCCACACTGCTCATTTTACAACCCTATTTATATCCTGCTTTTGGCAAGGACCACTAAAAAATGTAAAATTACTTTTATTTTTTTGGTTCAACGGTTAGAAATGTCTGATTCAACTTATACCATTTTCATCTAATTAATTAATGCTAAATCTTTATTTATTGATGTCGAAGAATTCAAACCCTCTCGCCTTTTTATTGATTATCGTTTTTTTTTTGAGAAATTATATATAATTAACAGGAAGGTAAAAAAAACCAACTAAAATGTAAGAAAGAGAAAGCCACATTATTCACCATTTGTTTGGACACATTAAAGAAATATAAACTATACTAGCAATAACTCCATGCCTCAAGACACTTTAAATACTAAAAATTGATCATTTATTGTATAATATTTAGATTTTAAATAATAAATTTTTTTTCTTTTCTTTGATTACACAATTTCAAACTAAAATAAACAGAGAAAAAATAAGAGAGGAGTGTGTAGGTGTGGATTATTAGGGTTGTCTAGCATTGTGGAGTGCGCTGATTGAGTTATCTGACATTAAGAGTTATGTAGAGATATTGTTTGTTAACGGATTTTTTTTTTATGAATTTTCTACCATTTATTCAAAGTAAATAAAAAATTATATAAATCTGGACCATTGTTGTGTTTTTATAATTTAAAAATTCAACTTCTAACTGTAACATTATATAAAATTTTCACATTATAACGTCTTTATTTAAATCTTTGGAGTAACTTAAAAACTGAATCTATTGACATAATTCATTCTCATTGTTGAATTATAATAAATCTATATATTGGATGGAACTTACTACCATTCGATAATAGTATTAAATTATATTAGTACCTTAAATTTCCAAATTGAGTCTATGAAAAATAGTAGCTTAGTGTATGAGATTTTTATTATTATAAAAATGAGCATTATTAGATGTAAGCAACATTTTTCATACATGAACAAAATACTTTTCATCTAGGTGTTCCAGATAAAGAGTCAGATGAAAACGTTAAAGTAGTACAAGCTGTTCTATATCTTTCAATAACAGTTGATTGATCAGGTTATTGTTTTATATTGAGATCCTATCACATAGGTAAGTAGGAGCACCTTTGACTAACAATATCTAAACCAAAAACAACTATAAAAGAGGTTGGTTGAACAAAAGTAAGAGTTCCGGTAGATGCCTGCTAATAAAGGGCGACCCTACTATTCTTTAATTTCCGTATTACGTGTGTCGGTGAATGGAGTGGTGAATGTAAGGAGTAATATATGGCACCAAAAAATAATGGGCACCGTATCGTTATTTTAGAATCAATCGCAAGTAGGAATGACAGTAAACCGAAAAAAAATAGGTATTCGTCTAAACCCGTTCTATTTGGACCGGAGATGGACTATACGTATTGAACGGTGAACGTATACGTGGATACCCATATAAATCCGTGTAGGGATGAAAGCGGGGATAAAATTACCTTTACCCTCGCCCCGTCCCATCCCCGTCCCCGTTACCCGTTATATATATATTGAGGTCTAATATTATCTATTGTTGAATTATTGATTTATTAGTTAAGTTCTAAGGTAATGCCTGCAGTATTTGGTCACATTAGTAATTATGTGCATAATGAGTTTTGGTGAGCCTTTTGGCCCATTTACTGTCTTCTAGCCTTGTGCATGTCGTTATTGATCTTCATTACAGTAAATATAGGGGCATAGTAATTCAATAAAGGGTTAATCTCATTTTGTACTCTAAAAGATTATTCAAATCTCAATTTGCACCTTCAAAGATAAAAAATCTCAATTTGCACCCTCAAAGATAGAAATTGTATCAATGTGTATCCCCAAAGATAAAAAATCTCAATTTGTACCCTCAAAGATAGAAATTTGTATCAATGTGCACCTAAAATTAAATTAATAAATTATACTTAGATCCACTCATATTTGTCACTTAATCATTTGAACTCTTTCACATTTAGAATATTTTTCTTACATCTCACGACGTTTGTGCATGTGTAACACATAACCACTTTTCGTTAATATCTGTTAATATAATCGTTAAAAAATATGATGTTATCCTAATAAAAATTATAATTTCATATTACCTTTTATTTTGTGGATTCGATATACTCTAAAGTTGCAAATCAAGCTTACCATTTGAATGTCTAATAAAATGTAGATATTTATATAAAAGGTAATATGAAAAACATTATATAAATATTTATATTTTATTAGATATTCAAATAGTAAACTAGATTTTGAACTTTAGAATATATTGAACCCATAAAATAAATGGTAATATGAAATTATAATTTTTTATTAGGATAAAATTATATTTTTTAACGGTTATATTAATGAACATGAGTTACGTGTTATACGTGCATAAATGTCATAAGATGTAGGAGTAATATTCTAAATGTGAAGAGGTCTAAATGATTAAGTGACAAGTATGAGGGGATCTAGGTATAATTAATCAATTTAGTTTTAGGTGCACATTGATACAAATTTCTATCTTTGAGGGTGCAAATTGAAATTTTTTATCTTTGGGGTGCACATTGATATAAATTTCTATCTTTGAGAGTACAAATTGAGATTTTTGATCTTTGAGGGTGCATATTGATACAAATTTCTATCTTTGAGGGTGTAAATTGAGATTTTTGATCTTTAAGGGTGTAAATTGAAATTCGAACAATCTTTCAAAGTGCAAAATGAGATTAACCCTTCAATAAAATGGGTTTGTCTTAAGATTTTCCATCAGCAATATTACCTTGGCATGATACTGTGGGCTACACAGATGTACTTCAAAAACAATTTTTTTTATGGCACGATACCTGGGCTTGGCCTTATGCTTGGGTTGGGCTTGGGGTTAGGCGTGTACGGAAAAAGCGGGGACAGGGACAGGGACGGGGGCAAGAATGAGAATTATAAATTTATCCACGGACGAGAATGAAAATGAAAATTATACCTGTTAGCGGGGTTGGATCGGAGATGAACGAAAGTTTTTTAAGTGGGTATAGTGATGAAGATTATACCCCCGCCCCGCTTCAGTCCATTGACATCCCTAATCGCAAGTACTGTAACGTAATAAAAACGTCCACAATAGTTGTAAATTATTACTCATAAAAGTTATAAATTTTTTTGTTATAAAATAATATACAAAAATTATAAAATTTAAAGGTACGGTATCAAATCATTTTTTATTTCGTACCATACCTTTAAAATTTATTATTTTAAAAAGTATTTTTACAATTTTTGTGAGTCATTTTACAACCAAAAAATTTATCACTTTTGTGAGTATTTTTACCACTATTATGGTAATTATTTTTATTACTTTTTTTCGATACAAAAAATTTATCATTTTTGTGAGTGATTTATCACTTTTTGTGATAAATATTTTTCATGATACACAAAAGTGAATTTATGCACAATCAACAGTCGAGTGTATAATGTAGAGTAATTAATGAAACAATTAATAAAAGAGACAAAGATTAGGTCAACACAGACAACACGCAGATGTATAGTTGTTCGATCAAGATGATTTACTCCACTTCGAAGGCGATAACGATGCCCAAAGAACTTTATTAATAAAGTAGAAGGTGTGAGAAAGAGAGACTAAATGTAAGCTCAGAGTAGCTATGCGTGAAATTGTTGTTTAAAGGGTATGTAGAGAGATGTCTCCTTCGTGTGGAGAATGTTTACAATTTATAGACACAGAATTTTAGTTGAAACAGTGGTTGTAGAGAGTATGTTTTTAATTTTTCAGAAAGGATAGTTATATCTAATGATTGATACAATTAAAGATACTGCCGAGGATAGGAGGATAGTTACTACTTCATTATTTTTTCATTATTTCATCATGATTATACATGATTCAACTCAAACTTAATTGTCTGAATTATTTTTTGGCACGTGCCACGGAGATATCGTAGCCTTAATCCTATCAATAGATGCTTGGGAATATTCACAAAAAATTTGGGAAGGTGCAGCGTCGGCAAAAACAGGCATGTGAACTGGAATATAAATGGACTGAAGATCTGGTCTGAAGTCCAGAGAATTAAAGTCCATCGGCCCATTGGGCCATAGAATTTGAGGCCATCAGTACGGTTATTGAAGACCCTTTTTGGAAGAGTAACAAATATAAGAATAATGCTAGTATTCTTATTTAAGTTCATATAGCATTCCTCCAAATATAATAGAATTCTTATTTTCATTAGATAAAGAAAAACAAAATAATTCTTAAAAGAAAACATGACAGCAGTGATGGTGGTAGCCACGATAGGAATTTAATTTGCTTGTTACGAATTACGATGTCACCGCTGGTGGTATATCAATAGAATGATAATAGTGGTTTTGATGGCGATTGAGATGGTAATGATTGTTGTTGTGAAATTGATAGTAATATCATTGGGCTGGTATCGGTGAATGACTAATTTAGCACTGGAGAGAGAACAAAAGTTCTTTCTTTTTTTTTTTTTCAACAAAGAAAACGGGAAAATAACGCCCAATAATAGATAGTAACATTTTTTGGACATGATCACGAGAATTCCCTCGTTGTAGAATGTTTAATTTGAATTTTAATTACTAACTCGAAAAGACAGTCCGTCACCACAACACTATCAAAGTCAAACAACAAACTACATGGTCCCATACATCGAACTCTAATAATTATGTGAGAGTCAATGATGACCCTAAATAGGTATGATTTACCACTAGACCACTAATTCCGGTGGTGAGAGGAACAAAAGTTCAAAAAGACGTAAATAGCAATTTTATTTTATTTTTATAGTGCTTGCAATATGTACAACTAAAAGGACAGTCCAACAATATACAGAAATAACTTCAATTTTCTTTTTTGAGTTACTTACTGGTAGGTCGAGTCTGATTGCATATAAAATCTACCATGAATACATAGAAAACTACAGGATTTATGTAGGAAACTGAAAAAAACTCGGTGGAATGCCTTCAACAGGAAATTATTAACAAAAACAATAGTTACCAGGACAGCAGTAGTGCAGTATCCATCCTCAAGATGCAGTTCTCCATTGCAGCTCAATCTGAATCCGTCCATTCTTCGAGTCGATGAGGTGGAATCTCTCATTGATCCTTTTGTTGCTAACAACATCTGAGAGATTTATATCAACATAACCCAGAATTTCCTAGGAGGAGACATGTAAAACCAGAGAGACGCTTAATAAGTACTTGCATTAGCAAACAGAGTACAAGCTAAAACAGTCTGATAAATTCAAGGCTAGCCATAATTGATGCTTAAAATGCCAGAACAATGTTCCTCAAATGAACACTATTGTTCAATACCAAACACTGCACAGCAAGAGGGTAATAACAACTTTATACTAGCCAATTCCAAATAAAAATCGACTCTCTAATAACCCAATCTGCTACAGTGATAGAAGATGATATGACAATTGATAAATGTTTACCTTGGGATGCAGTAGACCCATCCTTGATGAAATGCTAACAACTTCCACATGAAGCCTGTCATTAGTGGGTGGCTCCTCCAGCATGAACTGAAACTCCTCTGCCCATCTTGGATCCCTATTTTTCTTCACAGACTGTATCAATACAAAGCAAAAAATTAAATATTTCTAAACAGCAAGACGATATTAAACATTTAACAGCGTATATCCCTTCCACGTTACATAATCAATTCAAAAACTGATAATAGAATTCTGGGCATAAATACCAATGCTGTTGCCTAGACAGTTGTTTTCTGTGGTTCATTTTCCATGGTCTCTAAGGCTTGACATAATTTGTCATTTTTGCGGCTGAAAATGTGGAAATTGCCTCTTATTGCACCTATGGTACCTCTTGCGCCTATGGCCGCTATAACTATCCAAGAAGACACTCAAAACTGGAAGGAAAAACAAACCCACCTAGTGGACTGCCGAGCTACAAGAATGTTCTCTTATAATACATGCTACAAGATACCTTAGTTTTTCTCTCCTCCCCCCTGAAAAGTAGACGCACAGATGGATTTGTGTGGTGCTTTCCTTCCAGATCTTGAGCTTCATGGACAATGACTACTAGCAAACCACCACCCTCAGGTGTTCCTTCAGGAGCCTTTTGTATCGCATTTGAATCTTCAGCATCTTTTGGAATCTCATCATCCGCGAAAGGTTTGTATATCGCTTCAATAACAAGCTGCCCACGTGACTTCTCATTTTGAACATCATTTGGGTCCATGGTTTTCAGAAGATCGAGAGTCATAACTTTCGGCTCATCAGGAGTGAGTTCTTTCAGTGGTATGGCATTTAGGCCCATCTTATCATGCTTGCCCACCTAAGTAAAAGGGAATATAAAGCTTGAGACGAATAGGAGAAGTAAGAAGGAGAACAAGAAGAGGAACAAGAACAAGATCGAAATAGAGGACTGATCTCTCATGTCCATATGGAAGGCATTTATGCATTCCGTATCTCTTATTGAAAGAAAAGGAGTGGCTTAACCTTTGATAATTAATCTGAAATAGATAGATCAACATACGTGTTCCCAGTCATACACTACAGCTTCTAAAGCTTGAGATTCTGGATCCTTAACAACAAAATTAAATTCCTCATTCCATTCTGGGTTCAAGTTTTTGCGTTTCACAGTTGTTTTCTTTGACAGAAGTTTGTCCTCAGTAAGTTTAAGTTTCACGTAAGGGTCTGAAGCCCCCAAAAGATCTTTCTTTTTGAGCTTTATTGCCCTAAGAACCTTCACACTCAGAATCCCAACAGGTCTCTTCATGGCTCTGCTTAAAATTGGTTAGCTGTGGTCAGGACTTGATAAGGATGGATGCTGTCTTACATAAAAGCCAGGGAAGAGAATGTACACTTACTTTGCAGGATCCATAATTGGGACCTCAAGCACCTTTGGCCATAGATACATGTTTGCAACTTGATCTTTGATAAGCTCCTGGGGGCCAAGATATGATTAGGAACCAATTTAAGTTATGAACTTTCCCCACCCCCACCAAACACAAAATAAAAATTAAAAAGAAATAAGAAAAGGAGTACTAGGAGTTCCAAAACAACATGGACTTCCTTAATGTTATGCAGTGACTTCCTTAGATTCCATAAAGCATGAAAAAAAGAACAAAGATAGCAAAATTACATCCTTACAAATGATCATTAGTCAAAAAAAGGTCAGTCATCACAAAAATTGTCATCGAAGTGAAAGTGGAATATATGTACAGACAAAAATACATATAGAAAGAGAAGGAGCGAAATCACAAAAAGGGAGGACTGAAGAACAAGGCTTTAGTCATGAGGCACATATTAGAGGAGAATGAAAACAACCCTCCCAATGCGAGAATGAAAAGAAAATTAATGAAGAAGAAACAAAAAGAATCCATAGTGTGCCATACCTGGACAAATCTATATAGGCCAGGAATGGACATAGCATCTGCCCCTAGCAGTTTTAGTCCAAAGTCAACATGAGGCTGCAGAATCACAGAGAGAGGGGGTAAGAAATCATATTTTATTTTGCAAAATAGAATATGGTTTTAGAGCTGTTGCTATGGGTCAAAATTCACATATTAATTTCAGCAAGGTCAACTTTTGGCCAACATTCCTACTCCATGACTACCATCCAACAAACTAAGATGCTAAACCCAAAAACAAAAGAAAAAAAAAGAAGTGATTCTGAATGCTTTTACTTTAAACCAGGGTGAAGAATGATCTTGGGCATCCAATTATGTCCAAAATTCTCCATATAGCAGAAAGAAAATATAACTCATTTGTGCACATAATTATACTCCTGATGAAAAAAAAAAAAAATACTCCTGATGAGAACCATTACTAAGCCAAGATTACAATGTTATCTCCATCAAATACAAGGTTCAAAGCTATTCAGAAGCATATATGGACTTCCACAAACCTAAAATCTTCTTTCAAATGAAACCAATAATAAGAATTACATCTAATCGTTATCACTCACCCTCTCCATGAGAGAAACTAATATTTTGGCAAAACAAGGGAAGCTTGGAACCAGGGGCTTCAAGGTGATGCGCGGACAACCAAATACTTGCAAATCAACCACCTGTAATACTCCAAAGAAATCAATACTAATTACTGTAAGTGAACAAGTAGCAAAAAAAGGTCCCTTACTTTAGCTAATGATTTGTATGAGAGAAAGAGGAGCATACAGTAAGCATATTGGGTGCAGAAGTTGTATGTCTAACACTACGTAGCTACTTCAACGTATCATAATTTCTTACAGCACCAAGGATCTAATTTCAATGACTATCAGTGACAACCTGCCCCTCAAAGGTTAAATGAACCAGTACCTGTACAGTGGCTTTCAACCCAAATGCCTTGACTGCTACAATGATGTTAGGATTACCGGCCCACCTCAACACTGGTTCCATGATCAACTCCTTCTCCTCAGTTGTATAGACTTTCATTCCTGGAATGAAACAGCATCAGGTATGGGAGCAAAATAATGAGAAACCAGGTTAAAAGAAAAAAGAAGAAGGAGAAAGTAAGAGATGCATAAATTTCTTATCGAAAAATTATTAGGTTAACAATATGGAATAAGGTGAAAGGACACAAAGTGATTGCAATGCAGAAAGTCACTAAAGAGCAATCTTTGCGATGATTATTGTCATTATCCGAATTATCCATGTCTGGCCAAGGACACCTCTTCGTTCCAAAAGTTGAGATAAAAAAAACAAAGCTTGTGAAGCTTAAAGTGACCTTTTTCCTTCTTACTTTTTTAATGAGTAAGATGATGTGTCAATTGTCATTGAGGCATAAGTGTAAACAATTAAACTACAGGTACTAGCTTTAACCATGTAAAAAAAATTGATAATGGGAGGGGAGCGAATAGAACATGCCCTAAAAGCCCATCCAGGTGCTTGAAGCAATCGGAGACTCAATACCTAAAAGTAGATTGGCCTGCAATGATAAAATCTATGAACCTTTTCCCTTTAAATTGCGGAAACCACAGCCTAAGGATCAGGAAGCCATTTCTCCATAGACTTGGTTACTCAAATCACCTTCCCTATGTCCTTCCTCATTTGCAGGTGTTGAAACTGTTATTTCTTGAACATGTCCAAGTTATTTCTGTGCATGAAGAGAATTCCTCTTGTCCGTTTTAAGTCGAAACAAAAAGAATATTTGACAGACATAAATGTCATAAAAAAATGCCGAGAAAGCTTGCGCAAAGCGTATTCCAACAACTTAAATATGACAAAAATCTTCCCCCCAGTCAACAAAAACAAGTCGTGCCAAATTCTTCGGAGGGACTTCTCAGGCTGCAATTCTTAGACCGTGTCTTGTGCACATACATATTTTCTGGAATTTTATTCGGTCTATTAATAGACTACAACTGTGGAGAACATGACTCACTATTCATCATGATTACATGGAAGTAATGCTATGGTTTCAGGTAGAGTTCCAGAGGGCAAGAAAGATGCACTGTTAGAAAATGGCAGGACCATATCACATGTAGTTTGATGTGTCTACATGCATGTATGTGTGCATTGCAGAGAGAGAATAAAAAACTCAACCTTGAAAAGTAGGTGGGAGGCAGCCCAAGGTGAGCGCTTCAAACTCAATTGACTCAATTTTGTATTTTGGAATTTGTTCAGCTATAATGGGCTTCGCTATGGTCTTCGCAGTCTTGCAAATTGCCTACAGAGCTTGCATCATTAATACTCATACCCCAAAAAGCAGAAAAATGTGAGGAACACACAACCTAACCGTACCTTGTCCAAATAAGGCCACATATTTTCAATGAATTTGTTAAGCCAATCAACCTGCACAAAATGTTATTTTAAGAATCTTGTTATCAACCCCACCGCATGGTGTGGGAGCAACTTGCAATTGAGTAATAGTTTTTTTTTTTTTTTTTGGTGGGAGGGAGAGGGGGACTTGAACTCTCGACTTCAGGAATGCAAAACCTTTGCAAGGTAAAGAGTACCATTGGACTAAGGCCCATTGGTCAATTGAGTAATAGTATAGAGTCTGCTTTTCAGACCTAATCTTTGCATTTGGAACATCTATACAACTATGTAGGTAGATACTTTCAAAGTAATAGCATACACGATCATAGTCTGGATTTTTCACCCATAGAGGTATTTCTGGAAGCAATCGTTGCACAGTTTCAGCATCTTGTTCAACTAAAGGATGGATAATCGGATCCTGAACAAAATATCACCCGAACATATGAGAATAAGCTAATAATCTGATGTAAATTCAGCTCCAGTTATTACCATATGCAATAATTTCATTATGCTTGATATCTATTCTCTATTTACTGCAATATTGTATGGGATGCAATACGGTTTTCCTTTTCCTTTCTCTGTTTTTGCTTCTTTGGGATGGAGGAGAGGGTTTGAAAGTTAAAAAAATAAAGATAGCAGTACTGGAAGAAGAAAAACACTACCGAACTGTAACAGATCAAGGGCAACCAAAAAAGTACAACATGCGGAAGATAATATCAAGTTAAGTAACTAGTTTGCCATAATACTTGAAGTACTATAGATACATCACTACATTGGTAACAAAAATAATCATACCATGAAAAATTAGATATTTGAAAATGGTAAAAAAAAAAAAATTTAATTAGATACATTGAGTATGAGGGCTGCATAACATTACAGCAGTAAATTTTATTTTCCTTTTAATATAAAGAAGAAACCTATAGATGATTAGCCACAAGACTACACACTGATAAGGTTTCAATTTAACCCCGCAGCTAAAATTCATCAACTACTTTTGAGATATCACATAATATGAATAGGGCAACCATATTGAGGACAACAAGAAATGTAGAAAACTGTTTAACAAAACCCTATCAATGTCAATTTTTTTACCCATCAAATCAAAATCTCCATTCACAATTGTAACTCCGAAACAATCCTCATGAAAGTGAGAGCAAAAATCCATCTCTTGAATTAAGCATTCACTTGTGAAGTTGTGATAATAGCTTAGACTTGCACACATCACCATAAGAAATCACAATGAAATGTTTACACCTAAACGTACTGAAGGTAATGAAATGTTTACACCTACATATACACTGTAGGCACTGTCAAAGTGAGGAAAAAAAATACTACCCATGACCAATCCGACTCAAAATATTTTTCAACAATTTACTGTTGCCTACGGAATGATGTAAATACGGAACAATGATAAATCAGCAAACAACCGTTTCCTAGTACATATATCACCATATAACTATGATTAAAGAAAATGAAAAACAACCAACACCAAGAAGAAAATAGAAACAACAACAAATACGCAGAACATGCAGAGAGAAACAGAGAGAGAAACCAACCTCGACGTCAGTTGGTTGGAAGTAGATGAACAGGTAATACCCAATCACAAGCCCAATTGTAATTCCTATTCCAAATCCAAAGAAACCCATTACAGTGCTCACTATACCCATCTTTAACAATTTTCAGATCCCAGAAATTGTTCCCAGAACTTACCCACAAATATACTCCAAAGGGAAGAGAAGAGAAGAGAAGAGAAAAAACGAAAAGCCCCTCATATATTCATTGCCATCACACCATTTAAAAAACCCAAAATAGAAAACAAAGTTAAAATTTAAAATGCATCACCGATCTTTATGTAGCATTTGTGATCTAACATTCTTTATTGGAGTAAGAACTACACTGAGAAAACAAAACAGAAAAACAAAAAGAACCCAAGAATCTGTGTTTTGACATGAGAGATATAACAGATGAGGAACATTCAATTTTCATTATCAACAGCGCAATAAAAGTGCATTTATGCTTGGCCAGTCTTGCTTTCAACGACCCATTTGATCCACACATAACGGCTTTGCAGGAAAATTCAACCGCGTTAAACGGTGGTGGGTATATGTCGGCAAAGAGAAATATTCAATGCACACCGCATCGTTAATATCTTTTAAAAATCAAAATTTTGCTTTAAAATAATCGAAACATCATAATAAATATTTTCATTTTAAAAAAGATCAAAATAAATATTAGCGATAAAACCGAAATTCTAAATATTTTGAAGACTTTCATAATATTTTAATTTATTTATATAATTATTTTAAAATATTTTAAGATAATTTAAAATATTTTGGTATATTTTAATTACTACTTTAGAAAAATAATTTTTAAATTTTTATTTTTATTTTTAAAAACTGGTCGAAATATTTTTAGTTTCTGAAGTGACAAGAATAATGCATCCAAATTTTTTTTGATCATTAATATTACTATTTAAATGGAAATACAATAAAATCAATAAAATAAACTACACTTTTTAAAAAAATTACGACATGAAGAAGTTAGAATCGGTTATTAAAATATATAAAACTCACGCTCTTATATATAATATTTTTGGGTCGTATAATATAGATAACATGGCATTATTATTGTAATTAATATTTTCTTTGTCGGCAATGTCTACTGGGCATTTTCTTGAAGGATAGATTCGTCCAAATAATGGAAAAAAATCTTTGATCTTCTGGGTCTACTAGGGACCCATTAAGCCATTAGGATTAAGACAATCATAGAGAGCAATGTAGACAAAGATTTAGAGTGGTTTTGTGTAGTGTTTATCTTTGTCATTACCTTTCTGCGGGCCTTTCTTTTTCATGTTATGATCGTGATAAAGATTTAGAGTGGTTTTGTGTAGTGTTTATCTTTGTCGTTACCTTTCTGCGGGCCTTTCTTTTTCATGTTATGATCGTGATGGGACTTTTCTGAAATGCTTCATGATGAAGACACGTGTCTTCGATATTATCAAAATATTGTTGCTAAGATCAAATACTATCGGCGCATAAAGGTCCTCGCCCCCGAGGTACTTGTCATATAGGATCATGACATTCAGTACGTTTTACAACCAACACGTAGCCTCGGTCTGATATGGTACTTCGGTCGGTATCCCCCTCGGTTCCGAGATGAGCCTTTCCTCGGTGCCGAGGTGTACCCCGTCCTGGACGCCCCCTCTACTCCAGGATAAGTTATTGATGTACATGTCATTAGCCTAGGCTATTCATCATGACCTCGTCTTACACAATTAGTGTCAGAACGTACTGGAATGCAGTGGCCACAGCCAATGGGGAATGGACGCGTGGCATATAATATCACATCGAAGACAGAGAAACCGCATGCCGTTGTTGACACGCGACTTGGAAAAGCAAACGATTAATTACACCATTCCCTTGATGAGACCGCATTCAATGCGGTAAGGCTAGGAAATGAAAGGCAATAAATGCTCCTAATACAGAGCATTTATTGCATCCTCCCCAAGAGGAGTACATTGTACCGTCGGCATCCCGATGACCCAGCATTGATTGCTCGGGACCCCGAGCAGTTAAGAAGAGAAGACATTCCTCATCAGAATCAGTGTGCACACTGCCTGTACCTAATGATCACCTACTGACTACACTGACAGCAATCATGAGCTTTTGAGGTATAAATACTCCTTGCAAAAGGCAAGACGGGTATGCAACAAAAAACTCTTTACTGCAATACACACTCAGTGTTTTCTCCTTCCTCTCTCTCTCTAAAAGACTGACTAGATCGTCGGAGGGGATACGCCGGAAAACACTCCGGCGTCCTTCTAACTTGTTTTTCTTTGTTCCAGGAACCTCTTTCAGCCTTACTGGATCGTTCTTCCGCTCCCCCAGGGTCTCCCGTTGTCGTTCCAGGTTACCACCGGATCTCGCAGGCTGTTCCAAGCAGCGTGGTTGGTCACTCAACTGGCTCACTCGAGTTCACCAAGAGAGAGATCTGTTCTCGTTTTTTATATTGTGCAGGATCTTGCACGCACAAATCGTACTTTCCATCTTTGTCCATTTGATAGGTTATTATCGAATTCTAATATTATGTACCAGTGATAATAAATTTGTTTGGAATTGATTGAAAACTTCAAGTTTTGGAGGATTCAAAGCAAAAAAAAGGTTTAGTCTGTTTGGACCCGAGTTTATTAGGCGGTTTTTCCATCAGTTTATTGGGCAAAAATAATTTTTTTCTGTATTAAGGAAAAATTGAAAAATAAAACTTATGGAAGGAAAAAATTGACTTTTTCAAGAACACTCCAAACGGTTTTTAGAGTTTTTTTAACTCATGATTTTTTTATTTTACTTTTCAAACATTTGCTTGGCACCAAAAAAACAACTACAAATGAACCCAGTGTACTATTAGCATTGTACTTCTTAATGTTGTTGTGAGAACAATATGTCTGAACCTACGTAAATCAGCTAAATCTACAAAAAAAATTCAGACTTTGGGCAGACTTTTTGTGAAGGTAAGGTGGTGGGGGTGGTTGGCGAGGGAGACCATCTTGGTGGCCTTAATCGGGTCAATCTTCCGACTCTAGCAGGCAAAAAATCCTGGCCAAGAATCCTGTCTATTTAGTCTGTGTCATTTTTCAAGCCCAATGAACTAATAAAGACAATTTTTTTTTAGTTTAATGGTCAAAGTGTTTGGATCAGTTTACGCATATTTTTATTAATTTTTTTTTTAATTTGATTAAAGACAGGTCATCTACGCCGAAACTAAAAAATTCTAAAGGACATGTTTGTTTATGCTTGCATCGTACTGTTCATTTGAAGTTGACAGAGATAACTTCCACTCCACTTTGTGGCCACAATGGCTGAGTTGAGCTCATAAGTTTCGCGAAAGCAACCTTTCCGTTTTTGTTTGGACTGTTTATCTTCTTTCCTGTCTCTTTCTTTTTTTCTTTTCGTTTTTTGGACTTGAAAATTTGATTTAATCTTTTGAATTAATGATGTAGCTTCATTGAATTATATAAAGTTCTAATGTTTAATAGAATCTATAATCGATCTAATAATTATAAACAGATTAGATTAATAAATTATGTCCTAATAATACTTTTCGTTTTTTCGGCAGTGTGATTTTTATGTCTTGATGATACTTTTCCGTAAGTCAAACAACGAGTTCAAAGCTCAACTTTACAATAATCTTTGCATTTGAAATTATTGGAAAATCCCGAAAACCCGTTCCAACATGATTTGTTAATTCTTTATCAAATCAATACGAAAATAATTGATTTATTTAAATTATAAATGGATAAAGCTATTAAATCGGTGAAATTAATAAGTCAACACAAATGTAGCTAAACTAGAAATGAACCCTCTAAACACAAAGATACATGGCGCTAATTTGATTACATAAGATTGCAAGGAGAGAAAAATAATTAAAAAATATTGACACGATTAGGACTATTAATCGAGTTGAGTTTTACGAGATTGAGTTCGAGCCTCTGGTGTTCGTTTTTCTAAACGAGCATAAAAAATTATTCAAACTCCGTTTGTTTAAAAAATAAATCGAGTCGAGTAATTCGATTATTTTACATATAAACGAGTTCAAAAAAATTATTAAGCTTAGTTCGTTTAGTACAAGAATTGAACTCAAATCGAGTCTTATTCGAGTTCGTTTAGTACATGAATTGAACTCCAATTGAGTCTTATTCAAGTTGAGCTCGACTGGTCAGACCCGTAATATAAACGATAAATTGCCAGTCATGTCCTTCTCTCAACCGGCGCACGAAAACAAATAAGTGGGCCTGATCTGGGCCATCCAATAAACATGTAGGACACGACTTCTGAGTCAAGCATGAGCCCACCGATCCACTAGCACAAAAAGTGGTCTGGAGTCTGGACCACACACTACCATTATAATTGTCTGGCTCAAGTTTGGGCCCAACTCTGCCCTGGCCTTAATGTCCCTATTAAGGGTTTTTCGGGTTTAGATATATTTTTTTAGACTTATTTGAGAGGAAGTATATGAATAAGTATTTTATTTTATTAAGTTTAATTTTAATAAAACATCTTGTGATTAGGTATAAAATTCAAATAATATTTGAATTTTTTTACTTATTTACCCTTTCTTAAATTATTCATAATTTTTTATTCTTTCACTCTTTCTGTTACCTTATATTTCTCACACATTCACTCTCTCTCTCTCCCCCTCTCTTTCTCCCTCCCCCCCTTTTTCTCTCTCTCTCTCTCACTGTTTCTCCCCTATTTTCCTCTATCTTTCCCCCTATTTTTTTTTCTTTCTCTGTCATTGATAATTTATTTTCTTTTCGAATAAATAAATATTTGATTTGATTTTTTTTATCTCATTTTCCCCTATTTTCTTTTTTTTTTTCACTCTCTCATCCTTATTTTCTCTCGGCATTACTCTTTTTCCTTATTCTCTCTCTTTATATCAATGTTACAATAACACAATTATATTAAATCAGTTACATCAATCAGTTATAATTGTCTTATAATATACCAAATAATTATTCACGTGTTTTGATAAACTAAACAGTTATACCAAATAATAATACAAAATTATGACACCATTTGTCATTTAGTTGTTCACATAAATTAAAGAGTTACATCATTTAGTATCACGACATGGTTACACTAATTATATATACTAAATTAAGTTTATCATTATACAAAAGAGTTTACAATTATACTAAATTTTGTGTATATAATTGGTGTAATCATATCATGATATTAAGTATTATAATTTTTTGGTTTAAATAAATAACTATATGACAAATTCGGTTGGTTTCATAATTTTGTGTAATTGTTTGATTTATCATAACACATAAGTAATTATTTGGTGTATTATAAAGCAATAGTAACTGATTGGTGTACTTGTATTATTGTAACATTAATATAAATAGATAAAAAATAAGGAAAAAGAATAACGGTGAAAGAAAATAGGGAGAGAGAAAAAGAGAGAGAGAGAGAGAGAGAGAATAGAGGATATATAGAGTAATGGAAAGAGAGAGAGAAAATAGAGTAGAAAGACTGAGAGAATAATGAAGAGAGAGGGAGAGAGAGAGCAATGGAGTAATGAATGACTTTTTAGTATTTTTTCAAAAAAATGCACTTAGGG